CACTAGCACCCTCAAGCCCTAAGGAGCTGCTAGCTGAGCCACAGGTCCTGTCTCATCAGAAGAGCTCAGCACAGGCCACTGCACAGAGATCCAGACAGCTAGTGGGCAGACTAGCTTAGAGGTGCGGTGGTGTGGGAAGGAGCGGAGAAGCACCCTGGACTGAGAATCTGGAGACCTCGGTTCATTCTCAGCTCTGCCCTGATCTGCTGTGAGACTTGAGGCAAGTCACTGCACCACTCTGCCTGGCTCCCCTCCCGCCCTTGGTCTGTCCCGTTTCCAACTCCGCTACAGTGGGTGCCTCGGAAAACCCCTCCCTCAAGAGCTCTCTGGGGAACAGGCTATTTTACCAGATGCCCATGTAGTGGCCTAGTACAACGGGGTCCCTAGGAGCTGCTGAACTATCATGAATAAAAGCACAAGCCACCGGATGAGCAGAGCAGGGGCTGGGCACAAATACAGGGGCTCAAGTCCCTCAATCCCAGGGCCAGCTAGCCCCAAGTTGCTCTCCACAGACCGAGTTGTGTCAGTGGGGCTTGCTGGGGGACGTAATGATCAAGTGTTGGTTTCGTTGTACCACTGGGGCGATCTCTCAAGGGCTTGTAACTAGGGATGCTAGATAGCGATTAACTGAGCAGTCATGTAACTGCACAAAATACGATCAGTTATAAGTCTATTTGATAGTCCCTGGGGGCAGGGCTGGCAGCCAGTGTGCTCCCAACCCCACTCCTGTGCAGACTAGCATCTGCCTGCCACCCCAGAAGGAGCTTGCAGTCTAGAGGCATGTGGAGTAGTGTGCAGGACAGACCGACATGCAGGTAGAATGCTACCACTGGGTTTCCGGAGCTATGAGCCGGGGGACGGTAGGGGGGACAACTTGTGTCATATTAATCAGGAGGCTTTCCAGAGCAGGAGACAAAGGCCTCTGCCAAGAGACCCTTGGGCAGAGCACACAGTGTGGGGAAGGCAGGCAGAGATGCAGGGAGGGAAATACGAAAGCTGCAAAGCATGCAGAAGCCAGATGTTGACCCCTCTGAAGAGGGGAAGCCAGTGTAGAGATTGCAAAAGGTGGGGGCCCCAGCATTCTGGAATATTCTGCCCTCCCCAAGTTTCCAAGTCACAACCCCAAGTTTCTCTGCCCAGGTTTACCTGTCCTTTGATGAGTGGTTTAGCCCCAATGGCAGCCTGCAGCGCCTTCACCTCCTCCGTTGGCCCAGTAATAAGTGAAGTTCCCGTGTCCACAATGGCTTCACAGCCCCCTTTGCACAGGGTCAGGCTGTTGGCAACATCCACTCTATGAGAAGAAGCGTCCCAGACTGCTTACAAAAGGCTTTTGTTGGCATTCAGGTTGCAAATGTGAATCAGTTACTTAAACAGAGGGAAAAACCCGACCCCTTAACAGCATAAAAGAAATCTGCAAGCCTGTGTAGGGGAATGAAGAGTTAAAACTCCCTGAACATGTGGATAGATGGAAATTCCTAGGTCTTGATCCAACCAAGCACTTGAGCAAATGCTTAACTTTAAGTAGCTAGCCCTGCCACTTTCAATGAGTGCACACATGCATCTGAAGTTAGATAGACTTTGCTGGAGCAGGGCCATAGCAGCATGTGTCCAGACACTTAACTTCTGCCTAGTATCCCACAGCTAGCTGCCTAGTATCCCACAGCCTGCTGCCTAGTATCCCACAGCTAGCTGCACCTGTTACCACCAGGAGTTACCAGGATGAGGACACTGAAAACTGCATGTCCTTTGGCACTTCCCCAGCAGGTATCTGAATCCATTTCCACAGTGGTTTGCGCAGCAGAATGTACCATGATGGAGGGCAAAGGGTTAGAAGGGTCATGTAACATTTCCCACTTCTAGGAACTACATTAGGCAGGTGAGATTGTGCCTGGTTTGGCCTTTGCAGAGGTTAAGCATCACAATACTCAGCACTGCCATAAAACCTTTAAGTCCGGGGTCTCAGTGAAACTTATGCTCATGCATCTGAGGGAAGAATTTATCCCATTGCCTTCTGCTGCCCTCCACTTCCCGGGGCTAATTGGTTGGGTGTGATAGGAGATTTAGGAGGGTCCGGTCCAGATATGTGCATGGGCAAGTGCAAGAGGCAGAGACAGGGCACACAGAAAGGGAGGTGGAACTTACTCATCCATGTGGACCTGCCAGTATGCCTTGCGTGTGACATTCACCCACTCTAAGTTTCCGGTATAATACTTGGGGTCAGTGCCCCCCAGAAGCAGCTCTCCTCCGGGCTGAGCTTGTGGGTCCCTGAAAGAGACGAGACAGAAAAATCAATTCAACTGAAGTGGGCGGGAGGAAGACGCTGCTTCCGCAAGCATGCTCATCTCAGGCGGGATCCCCTTGCGCTCATTCCCCAGGGAGAGAAAGCAGGCCACCCATGTTGGAAAGGTATACAAATATTAAGCTGCCACCACGGTGGCTTAAGCTGTGGGGAGAGTGGCACTGTAAGGGACTCTGGTACGTCCCAGGCTAGCGGAGGGCCGAGCCATTCTAGAACAGCCACACATGTTGTTGTGGGCAGGGATTCAGCTGATCAAATGGTACGTGGTCACTGCCTGACTATCATGGCCACGGCGAGGGGGGGCAGCAGCCATTCTAGAACAGCCACACATGTTGTTGTGGGCAGGGATTCAGCTGATCAAATGGTACGTGGTCACTGCCTGACTATCATGGCCACTAGTCCAAAGAACCCAATTCTCTGGGTTTCCTCAACTTGGACTTATTTCACCGCAGAGATTGCAGCCGAACGGGTGTGAGGAATGGTCGTTCCCTGGGATTTTTACCTACAACTAAGCCAGAAATCCCCAACAAGACATATTTAAGCCTAAGAATCTCATCTCTCCTGGGTCCATGGAACACCGTGCCCATGTCTGTAGAGGTGGCGATGGAGCCACTCAACATCTTCTCGTCAGGGCCTCTTGCTGCCATGATTACCGTCCTCCCTCTGTATTGTTCCCTCCCCCCTCCACAGCCTCTCCTGGCCCTCTACATTTAACTCTCCCTCTTAGGGAAAAAGCCCCTGAATCTTCCTTCCCCCCACTCTGGCTTCAGACCAGTGTAGCTCCGCGGAGGAACTCCCAGCTGACACCGGTGCAAGGGAGAGGAGAGTCAGGCCTAGACTCCCTCAGCACGGCACGCCAGGGATGCCTGTCAAATGTTACATGGGTAGGGTTGATGTGAAAGAACCCAGAAGGAATCCATGACTCCTTCCCAGTCCCAGGTTTGACTTCCAGCCAACCTATAAAACAGTGCAGAACTCTATCCACTATCCAAAGCCCCATTCCTCTGCACCTTGGGTAGCCATCTGGTGTCCTAGGCCCTGCCTCAGAGCAGGAGGACAGACTAGATGGCCTCTGGAGGTCCCTTCCAGCCCTACAGTGCTATGACTATTAACTGCACCTATGCACAGGTGGTGTGAAAAGTGGCATGACCCTATCCACATTGCACAGGTGGGAGCGACTGGGGTGCTGAGCAAGCTGCAGGCTTATGGCTGCAGGAGTTTGGGCTGGGATGCATGAGGGACTCAGGGCAGGGAGGCTGGGAATGTGATGGGCTCAGGACAGATTTGCAGTGTGTGGATGGTGCAGGAGTGTTGTGGCAGAAGACAGGGGATGTGGGGGTGCAGGGGTTTGGGAATGTGAGAGACTCAGGACAGGGGGTTCCAGTGTATGACAGGCTCAGGTTTGGGTCTGGGGGGTGCAGGAGTGTTATGATGCTGCAGCCAGATGGGGGCTTGGCCCCAATTGGGGGCTTGTTGGCCAGGCTTCATTTTTAAATAAAATATGTCAAACACAAAATGTTTTAGCATTGTCTTTATTTATGAGAGGGGCAGAGAACCTGTTTTGAGTCAGGGGTCACTGACCCATAGAAAAAAGTCATTCGGGGCCACACAAGTGAGATGCAAAAAACCCCCCAACCGCTCCAAAACCTCCAAGCCTCCCTAATGTGGCCCCAACTGTGCTGGTGGGAGTAGGGGATAGGGTGCAGGGGCAGGGTACCCATGAGGGAGGGGGGGGTCTGGACAGGGGGAGGGGACAGAGACAGCTGGAGCCAGTACTTGGGGATCCCGGGTCTCAGGAAGCACACTGGCTGCTCTTTCCTTCCCCTTCCTTCAAGCTCCCCCCCCCCAACTCTAACC